GTATATACATATTTAAATTCTATGTAATATCTTAAACATCTTTTATAAAAACTCAGATATTTTTGATATTTTTATTGTCAATATATAAATAATTTAAAGTTCGACTAAAGATAATTTACTTTAATCACCTGATCTGAATCTAAGATTTCTATTCGTTTAAATATTATTTGACCCAGTCACGTTACTATTAATCATCATCCAATAAAAACTAACTAGCCTTATGCTGGTTACTGTTGTGTCTCTCTTACTTTACGTTATTCCCTTTTTTGTATTTTTATTATGTCATCAAGTTATGATATTGGAGATAATTTTGAGTGCCTCGTACTTTCTCGTCCTCGTCATTCTTTAAATCCTAATTTTTCCAGACCTAGGTAGGACTAATCACCTTACTAAGTATTAATTGGTTATATATTCCCGAAGTTACGCTGCTTGGCCTGAAAATAATCTACAAAGAACTGGAAGCGCTTCGTGGCCACATGGACGCTGTTAGTCGAGCAGACTGATTGTGAACGTCCTTCCTTGTTGCTTTTATTTTTGGGACCAAGTGAATAAGGAATAAAAGATAATGGCTTGCTTCGACACAAGTTGTTGTTTTTGTTATGGCAACAATTTTTACTTAGTATCCCTTGCTCTCTTTAATAGACCTATGCCGGGAGATAGAGGAAAAGATATCACGGGCACATATCACGGATTCTCAGTAGTGGTACAATGCAAGGATTTATAGCTACAGCAGTCGGGGTGAATCTTATAATAACACTTTGAGGGGTATTAGCGAGGCAAGAGTTCTTACTTAATCTATCAAAACAAAACTTGATAATTTTAACCAATCAAAGGGAACTTCTGTCTTGCTATTTATCTGTTTCCTTTTTAATTATTTTCAGATACCATCACCGAACAGTTTTGGGGGTGTTCGTGATTTCGCGTCGGTGTCGCTACACACAAGAAGCCATATCATATGCAGCAAGTTCCACATTCAACTTTGTCCTGTCTATTGAAGCAAGCATTATTAATGATATCCAGAGGTTCCGTGCTGGGCCGGAGGGAATTATAAGCCAGCAGATTTTGGAGGAAGTAAGAACGAACTTGGGAAAGGTCTGGGATTTGGAAGAGAGAATTAGAAGGTTGGAGGTAGATAATGTGGAGTTGCAAAGGAGGGTATTGAGAGGTAATATAAAAATTCAAGAGCTGAAAGAAAGTATGGAAGGACAATTATCAAATTTAGCTGGGATTATTGAACGGAATAGATTTATTTTTGTTTTTCTTTTTTCTTTTATAATAATTCTTATTATTATTATTATTATTATTATTATTTCGTATAAATAAATATACTATAAAAATTTGTGGCTGCCAAATTGTTTACTCATATTTTTTAATAATGATTCATTTATTGGCACTTAAAATTTCACGCTCTTTTATAAAATTCTTAATCATATGTGCGTGACATTGATAACAACATATTGGATTAATTATAGAAATATTTAAACATGATTATATATGTTAAATCGAGCGGCCATTGTAGTTTTCGCAAAATATTTGATGCATCGTAATTTTGGATTAAATAAATGGTTATGGCATCTACCAAATTTACCGATTTTTAGCAATGTCTACTGTATTGCTATATTAATATACATTACTTTGTGAATTATTAGAACAATGATTAGTAAATCGCAAATGAATTGAAGTTTTAATCTTACTAAATAAGACCCAATTCTCGAAGGTGCTCTGGAATAACTACGTAAGGGTCTTTGTAATACCAAACATACCTTAAAACAATCCAGTTTTCTTCACACAATTCTTTCTTGAGTTGATCCCGTGCTTGCTGTTTAATAAAATTATTGGGATCACCATTATTAAAGAATTCTATATATCTTTCGTGTTGTTCTCCTTGTACTTCGGTTGCAAATCCATATTGTGGGTAATAAATGTCAAGTTCTAATCCAGTTGGGTGATCTAAAGTTTTAAGAAAATCAGGTCGACATATCTTAGATGGCGGTTCAAGATATTTTGAAATAATCTCTCGACACAATCTTTCACGTTTATATTTAGAGCAATATAGACACCATGTATTATCATTTTTTACATGAGAAAGGGTAGCATACCATTGATGGTTTTTATTGCATCTCCAGAGTAACTGACTCTTGCAATTGATATAAGAATCTGTCAAACATTCCTCGGCTCAACTACATGCAATAGATTTGGCTACCGAAATATCAAGTTTTGTGCTAGCGCAATATGGACACCAATAGTTCTTGTTCTTAATACCACTGAGGGAAGTGAGCCATTCATGTGATTTGGAACATCTCCAGCATAATTGCGTTGTATAATTGATGTAAACATCGGATAAACACTCTCCATTTCTGCTACGTGCTAACTCTTTCGCATATTCAATGTCAAGTTTTTCAGACTTACCTACACAATGTGGGCACCAAGTCCCTCTTTGAATACTATCGATTCAAGCAAACCATGAATGTCCTTTAGAACATTTTCAAGATAGTGGAGTATGTCTGTTATGATAAGAACTAGAAAGATATGTCCCACCCCTTTTATTTGCAAGATTCTGGATGAATTCAAGTCCAAGTTTCATACACTCACGACACCAATTTTTTCCATTTTTGACATTTGAAAGAGAAAGGAGAAATTGATGACTATTTTCACATTCCCATAAAAGAGGTGAGTTAATATTAACATAATTCTCAAAAATACACCATCCATTTTTAGCGCATGCCAATTCTTTGGCCACTGAAATATTGAGTTTTCTATTTGAGCAGTAAGGACACCATGAATGACGATTTTTGATAGATCGAAAAGAACACTTCCATTGATGGTATTCGCTACATTCCCAAAGTATTGGAATTTCACAATTGATATATTCTTTGGAAAGGCATTTTCCTCCATGAGATTCTGCTATCTTTATTACATCATTCAAAGAAAATTTTTTAGGCATTGCGAATAACAAAATATATTTCTTAAATAATTATTTTACTTTTCAATATACTATTGAATATTATGAACTACGCAAATTAGACGAAACTATATCTTCAAAAAAACAGAATCAATTTGCACCTAGACACCTATTTAGATTATTGGTTGCGGGCATCTCTGAGTCTGGAAAAACGAGCATGGTAGTACATCTGCTCCTAGGAAGTAAATATCCAAAAATATATCCGTGGATGTCTAGTGAAAAACATGGTTATAAAATACCAAAAGGAGGGAGCAAAAATTTTGGTGAAAGGTATATTCCGTGTGATGATCTAATTGTTGTTGCGCAACATCAAGGTGAAGAGTTATGGGAAATGGTACAATGTTTTTATGAATTTATAGCTATGGATAAGCAAGCTCCATGGTATGAAAATGTGAGATTCAAGCTGATAGGGCTTGAAGAGTTACCTGATATTTCATCTTTTAAAGAAACAGGCTAATTCACTCTTATAATCTTTGATGATTTTGCCAGTGAACCTTTAGCAACACAACTGAAAATCATACCTTTCTTTAGATCAGGTAGACATGAAGGAATTAGTGTAATTTATATTGCCCAACGTTTTTATGAAACCCATTCAAATATACGCGCAAATCTTAAATATATTTCACTGCACCGTGGATGTGGAACATTAGATAGTATAAAGCGAATTCTTAAAGATATGTATGATGATTATGAGCCTCTAGCAAAAAAAGTCTATGAAGTAATAAAAAAACACTTTGTAATTATTGATATCCGAAGACCATCTAATGATCCCTTATCAATTCGATTTAGATGGGACAAACCTTTAAAGGACTAGCAAGAATTTGAAATAAATACTTTGTGGCCTCATCCATATTCATAAGGTAAAGTTTCATTGGAGGTAATCCTGTCTTTGAGTTTTTCTACATGTTTATTTTTATGGAAAGATAATATATATTTCTTAATAATTTTTCAAGAAATATTAGTCGATTACCTGTTCCACATATCCCATAACTGATCACTTTTTTAGCTATACTTAATTCACATCTCAATATCACGAACCATATAACAGCAATAATCAGTAAAATAAGTAACATATATACAGATAATGGTAATATCAAAGTATTTGTCACAATAGGAATTACTTCTATTCCTCCTACCGAAATCTGCAGATATGATTTAATTAGAGAGGAAGTATAGTTTTCTACTTGTGCAAGGTGTGAAGTTACATTCTCAGGTATGCTCAATAATATATCAGAATTTATATATGTGTCTAGTATAATATCTTTACTAGTTTCGCTATTATTAGTTTCAGATGCATTAGTATCCTCACTTTGTAAGTCACTTACCTTGGATATAGGGATGACTCTGTCATCATCATAGATTTTTTCGATATCTTCTATATTTTTTCTTCTGTATGCTAGATATGGTCTAAAACTATTGCTAGATTCACTAATTATAGATATATCAGACTTGGTTATGGAACTTTGTTTCTCGCTTTGCATATTTTTTTTTGTCATCTCCACCAACTATTGTGAAGCAGATCATTAGATAATTCTTTAAATTATAGTTCAAAAGATCTACAGGTTTTGATATAGCTTCTGATTTTAGGTGATCGAGTTCACTTCTTACACACTCCAATTCAACTTCTATTTGTTTAAACTTAACCATTTTAGATTAAGGGATAGATTCTTAAATTTTGTTTTTGATAAGTTTTCTTGAATCGAAAATGCGTCTTTTTGAGCTAATGCTAATTTACTCTCCAATATCTTAATCATAGCCTAATGTAATTTTATTTTTTTTAATTGTATATCATACCTGACTTTATACTCATCACGGAAAATCTGTGATTGGTAATTTGGGATGTAAGGTTAGTATTGTTTACTTTCAGTTATTTAATCTCATTAATAAGTTGACAATTATGCTTAAAAAGTTTCTCTTTATCTTTATTGATTTGATTTAGATCAAGTTGTAATTGTGCTTTATCCTGTTTAATATTTTTACTAAACTCTAAATATACCTTCTGGTAGTTTTTAAAATCCTCAATAAGTTTGGAATTGGTTATACAACTATCACATAAAGCTTCTTCAAGTTTCACTTCCCTAGTACTCCCAAGTCGATATTCTTTTAGTGAGTTGATATCTCGTATTGTACATACATTAATTATAATTATTTGATTCAATATGTATTGATATTTACTAATTCCTATTTTTAAAAAAAGAAACAATACTCTTCAATACTTATCAATACTCATCGATATTCATCAATATATATAATAAATATTGATACTTTTTTTCTAATATATAATATATATCAATCTTAAGATGATTACTTATATTCAACAAAAATTTTATCAATTCAATGTGACTCAATTATCTGAATCTGATATTAAAGAAATTAGAGAATCGCAGAGGAAAGTACCAAATGTATCAAAGAGAATGGCAAAAAAATTTCATATTGGTGCTCATCGTATTTATAAAATATGGAAACATAATAAGTGTCTTCAACAGGGTCTTGATAATTGGAACAATTTTTCACCTTCTGATTCTCATAACAAGAAACTTTCAGCCATAGAAATATCGATTAATGAAGCAAGTACTAAAGTTACTAAAAAGATAAAATCAAAGTCCAAGCTTATTCATAATTCTGATCAATCTTCCATTAGTAATGGTTCAATTGATAAGGTGAATAAAATATTAGAAACTATACTACTTGAAATCTTGCAAGAAACTGAAGATCCTTTGGAACTCTTTAAAAGAATACAAAAAGATGTTAAAAAAAGTAGAGCAGTTGCACGTGCTGATATTTCTAAACTATCTACTTTTAATTCGAAAGTATAGAATTGATTTCTTCTTTATACTGATTACGCAAATCATTATAATATCCAATAAATTCTGAATTGGTTTGAACACTAGTAAATAGTACTTTTTCAAGTTCCTTTATATAAATAGTCATACTTTCACAATTCACATATTTTTTTTTAAGTTTTCCTCACTAGTTGAGTTAGATGAGATGGTAGATACTTAAGGTGATGAATCTTGCTTCTCTTTTGGTAGATCCAATGCTTCTGGAACCTTGCTAAAAGTTAGGATAATGTAAGTCTTACCATATAATTTCATTTGGAATTGGTTTTTATTCAGGTCAAGAATACCTTGAACTTTTCGAATCTATGTTATACTT